CATCCTCATCCTCCGCCCTCCTCCTCCTCCTCCTCCTCCTCCTCCTCCTCCTCCTCCTCTTCCTCCTCCTCCCCCTCATCCTCATCCTCAACCTCCTCCTCCTCCTGATCCTCCTCCTCCTCATCATCATCACCACCACCACCACAACAACCACCACCACCACCACCACCACCATCCTCATCCTCATCCTCATCCTCATCCTCATCCTCATCATCATCATCATCATCATCATCATCATCATCATCATCATCATCATCATCATCATCATCAGAATCACCATCATCATCATCATCATCATCATCATCATCGTCATCATCATCATCAGCAGCATCATCATCAGCATCACCATCAGCATCGTCATCATCGTCATCATCATGATCATCAACAACCTCAGCATCAGCATATTCATCATCGTCATCATCATTATCATCCGCATCATAATCATCATCATCATCATTATCATCATCATCATCAGCAGCATCGTCATCGTCATCATGATCATCCTCAGTATCATCATCAGCAGCAGCATCTGCATCAACATCCGCATCAGCATCACCATCAGCAGCTGCATCAGCAGCATCAGCATCAGCATCAGCATCATCATCATCCTCAGTACCATCATCATCATCATCATCATCATCGTCATCATCATCAGCATCATCATCAGTCATCAGAATCAGCATCATCATCATCAACATCATCTTCATTCTCAGCAGCATCGTCATCATCATTAGCAGCATCGTATTATCATCGTCATCATCACCGCCTTCATCCTCACCGGCAGCATCATCATCAGTATCATCGTCTGCATCATCATCATCAGCAGCGTGATCATCATCAGAATCATCAGCATCAGCATCATCAGCATCGTTATCATCATCCTCATCATCCTTATCATCGTCATCACCATCAGCATCATCTTTCTACACTTATATGTAGACCTATCTATCTATCTATACCAATGCATACGTCTGTTCTCCAAACATAGGCCGCCCTACAGGAGTCCTTGCTCATCATAAGTAATTGGTCCTTAGCCCCCCCCCGTTTTTCCAATGGTACCCTCCCTTGTTTCAAATGGCACCCCCCTCCCCCCCCTTTGCCAATGGCACTCCCCCCCATAGTTCCAATGGCACCCCCCTTGGTTCCCTTCTTTCCAATGGCGTGTCCTATGGATTCCTATGAGTCGTATGGATTCCTATGCCTATGACAATGCCTATATGCCAACGACTATGTCAATGCCTACGCGTATTGAGTCCAAAGGATCCTGAGCTAGGATTCCTATGGTTTCCTATGGATGCCTATGCCTGTATATGCCGATGTCAATGCCAAGGCATCTGCATATGTCAATGCGTATGCCAATGTCAAAGTAATCATCTCCTCCCGTCCTCTCCTCCTCGTCTTCTCCTTATCCCGCTCCCCCCCTGTCCATCTATCTATTTGGAGTCAACGCT